CCTGCCTAGCTTTATGCCAAACACCTTTCTCCTATCTCTTTCTTCCCATCCCCTCCACTGGATGTACTCATTCCTAGTTTCCATTTTTTGTATCTACTCCTCAATCCATGCCAGGATGGTGAGGCTTTATTCTCTCATACTTCAGACCCATATGGTCCCTGGAGGGCCCAGTCCCTGGAGAAGGTCATCGTGCTTCTTGACCATCATGGAGGGTCAGTGAAAAACAGGAAGAACCCTAACGAGATGGACTGACACAGTGGCTGAAATGTAACCCTTGTGAGGCACGGAACTGGGCCGTGTTTCGTTGTTATACAGGCAGCAGCAGCTATGAGTAGGAACCGACTCAACAGCACCGAACAAGTAACAGCTCTTCAATACTAGCCCCTGCCCTTTGCCGAGAAGCCCCCCATCTGTCCCCCGACATAGGTCTGCTTCCTTCCTGTCCCTGTACCCTAGGCCTGCAGACTCTGAGACACGGAACACAAAGGCGTGCACAGAGCACAATGAAAAGGGGGCAACTCCTAGGGGACCCATTTGAGGAATTCATTATGTAGAATATAAATTAAAGAAGCATCTATTCAAGATAAGAGGCATATATTCAAGAAACATATATTCAAGATATTTTAAATTAAAAACAGACAAAATAGAAAAACACCAAAAATGCTTAAATAGCATTATGTATCCAACTACATGAAATGATAAAAATGTGATAGACATTCACTGCTAAAATACAGACAGACAGACAGACAAGACGCACCCTTATGACATAATAACTCTACTTTAAGGGAACGTCATTGCTGTTTGTTGTTAAAGGCCTTTACGTCAGTTCTGACACATAGCAACCCATATAGGGTTTCTGAGTAGCAGTTGGTGGGTTTGAACTGATGACCTTCCAGTTAGCAGTCCAGTGCTTATTTTACAACGTCACACCAGGACTCATTTGCAATATTTAGTTTGGTGTTATTTATAATGGGGAAATTTACCATCTCTTATCCAACAATTGTCATTGTGGTACATTTAGACAATGAAATACTGAGACGCTCTCAAAACTGCTTATAAGAACCACAGTTTGTTTGTTAAGTGCTGTGGAGTTGGTTCTGACTCATAGCGACCCTGTAGTATAAGGTTTTCAAGGCTTTAAATCTTTGTGGGAGTAGAAAGCTTCATCTTTCTCCAGCAATATAAAATAATATAGTGAATTGTTTACGATATTAATTAGGAAAAGGATTACAAATTTTCATCTATAACATTATGAAAGCTATATATCTTTTTTTTTTTTTTTTAATGCACAGAACACATACCATGAGAACATATATTAAAATGTCAACAGCAGTTATCCCTAGATGGCAGGATTATGAGTGGTCTTTGTTTTCCATAATTATACTCTATGACAGTAGCCACATTTTCTACACTGAGCATGTTTTACTCATGTAAATCAGAGGATATGAATTTAGATAAACCCAATATAAATTCATCATTGAGAAAACAGCCTCCAAATTGTAATTCTTAGTCCCATAATATCAACAACTTTTAAATCTCTTTTGAGAAAACTTTTTGCCAACTTGACTGGGCTCAGGGAAGGCTTTGAGGAGTGCATGTGTAAAAAGACAGCAAAACCCCCACTAAGACTCAAACTGAAAGGAAACACATGAACAGGCATGTAAGCTTGCTGGCGACCATATTGGGCTACTGGTGAGTGGAAGAGGGGGAAAGGCAATGAAGAAATGGGCTGAGTTCAACCATGTTCCATAGACTCCTGCTGACCTGGAGATGAGAAAGAGAAGAGGAAGGGCTAGTTGGTCCAAAGTGTGGTGAGCGGAGCCCATGGGCTAGAGCTGAGAGTGAAGCATCCAGCTGATATAAAGTGAGGGGAGGTGCACAAGAACACCCAAACTTACAGATAGTACCCATCTGACCTAACCTCGATGGCTTTATATTCAGAACTCGACTAGAGGAAGATAAAAATAATTTAAAAATTTATAAAAGAAATGAGGGTAAATTGCTACAATTTAATGAACTTGACCTATACTCATGGAGGTTGTTGTTGAGTGCCGCTGAGTGGATTCCGACCCATAGCGGTCCTGTATAGCGTTTACATGGAGCAGCTGGTGAGTTTGAACCGCCGACCTCACAGTTCAAACGGCTTTGCAGTCTGGCGCATTAACCCACAGAACCACACCAGAACTCCATACTCATGGAGGTAGTAGCTCAAAATATCCACAGAGAGGGAAGGAAGAAGTCTTCACATCAAGTATCAATGCTATCCCCTCTGTACACAGGGTAGATAGGGACAGGCAACTTAGACATCGGCTACCTAAAATGAGGGGGCAATAAAGGCACAAAGTGACTGGCTTACAAAGTTTCAAGAGGAAGTTAAGTTTAAGAGTGTGTGGGGGAAGACAGAGTCCCCACTGAATAGTTTTCATCTTGTCTAGATGGGTCTAGTAAAAGGAGATGGGGATAGAATCTAATGATTCAATAGTGAGTAATTGTTATCACGACTAATTGCGACTGTCACAATTGTAAAGGCAGAAGTTTTGTAACAAAAATGGGGGAGTAGTTAACCCTACACTCCAGAAACAGAGGATCCTAGGACCACCACAGGAGAAGAGCACAAGAGAATGCAGGACCTTATCCAGAGAAGCAGCAATACCAGAGACAGAAGCAGAGATGGGGACGTAAAGAGAGGAAGCAGCTGAGGACTCTAGATTCATGGGAAGAGAGGGACTGAGAGCTATGGCCAGGAGGCAGACTTGTAGAATGTGCCCTTTCGAGGTGTAAATTATTATATATGCCTGAGTATTAAAAAAAAAACACTAAAATGAACAGAGAAAAATACTGGTATCTGATGGTACATGGAAGAGATTACAATCATTGTAATGAAACCAAGTATATGATTTATTGAATGTAAAACCGATGCTCTGCCCTGTAAACTTTCACTCAATTCAAAATAAAACTTAAAAAAAAAAAAAAGATAGCAAAATGTTATTGCACCTACCTAACCAATTCTAAAATGGGAATTTCCAGTAATCACTTAATACCTCAAATTGCAAGGCTGGATTATCCTACTCCGCTCCTCCTACTGCCATTGTACCAGCACTTGTCTGCCTGTGGATGGCTGGGATAATGCAAACACGGTACAGCGCTTGTACCACTTTAGGCATGAGGTGGGTAATACCCAGTATAGTAATCTCTACCTACCCACGTACCAGTGAAGCCTTTAAAAAAAAGAAGAAACAGAAGGCTGCAATGGGGAGATTCAACAGACAAAATCCAAATCCTTCAGGGCTGAGACACTGGAAACAATGGAGGCCTACCAGCCCACACACTTGGGCAGCTATTTGTGTTAAAGCAAGTGTAATCTACCAGGGTCTGCTACAGCGAAAATCTATGGGACAGCCAGGTGCTTTATAACAGAATTTTACTGTATTTAAAGACTCACCACACTGACACTACTGACAGGATACACACAAAAACTCACTTACAAAGCAATTTCCTAAAAGGTGAGTCTCATATCACTACATGTATGCAAGATGGTTTTAGGACATGACTGTAGGTGACACATGGACATGACATTGAATAACACCAAACACCACAGGAGAAATTAACCCACCATTACTGAACATTTTGGTGAAAGAGTCCATAGAAGAATTTTGATCAAAAGGGGAAATATGCAGAAGAGAAATTTCAAATTCTCATGGGCTCCAGACTTTCTGGAGCTATAGGAGTTGGATGAACCCCTAAAAGTACTGCCCTGAGATGAGCTTTAAAACAAAAAATAGCCCCTGAAATCTTCTTAAAACCGAACAACTACTTAGCTTAACTGGCTTAAAAAACAGGCCTGCTTTGAGCTTTATGTTCTCTTAAGAACTACTTATACTATTTATGTTCTCTTAAGAACTATTTATACAGGAGAGTAACAACAGCAAAAATTAAATAACATGTTAGGGGGCAGTGACTTCATATTAATGGGGGAAGAACAACTCATTAGGAAAGGAGAATGAGAACAGTTACAACTCAAAGGACAGAATCAACGTCCCCGAGTAGTATTGTGGAAACGGTTGGATGGGTGTGTTCTGCTGTGTCTATTCTCATCAACAGCAACATTTTTTTTTTAATTTTTAAAGGAAAGAAAGAAATTAGTACCTTTTCAATTCTTTCTAAAGTACAGATTGTTTCTAGGATCAAGTCTCAATTAGATAAAGTATATAACAGCATATCATCTCCTAAACACTTGTTAATCTTCCTTTTAACTAAAGAAAAAACAAGTCAAACTCTCAGAACCTCTTATGAGCAACAGTCGCTAGCTAGATAATAAAACATTATTATATTTTATGAGAAGCAGTTCAGCCTTTCTGGTTTTTAGAAAGAATGTAGCGTAAAATGGCTTGTGTGCCGAGTAATTGTGTGCAGCCAACTATTTCATCTCTCTGTGCCTCAGTTTCCTCATATGTAAAATGAAAATAATAATACTTCAAAAAAATAATACTTAACTTATGAAGTTGTTAGAAAGACTAAATGAGCTAATAATCCACACAAAATGCTCAGAGTTTTGGTACATGATAAACAAGAATCACAAGTGTTATTTGGTGTCTGTTTCTGTTGGGTTTGGGTGATATTCTACCTGTGGTAACACTGTTTCTTCTTAAAGAAACTTAAGAAAAAAGATGAGTTGATATAAAGGAAAGCACAAAGTCTGTCCACATAACCGAGGCTGAATACACCAGCCAGGTACGATGGCTTTTTCCTAGTTCCCAAAAGCCTAACTTTACTCTGTGATGAAGATCCTCCACTTTTTAATTATCACCCCAGATTCCTTAGTACTTACTCAACCTCCTAGCAAGATGAGGCGCAAACTCTACACATGATCCCCCTCTTCCTATCACCTCTCTGTCCAGCCCACATTTCTAATCAAAACCAAAATAATGCTGGAGAACAGACTGTCCTCCACACACCCCCCCTGCTGCCTCACTTAGACCTCGGGGCAGGAGCCAACTGACCTTCAGGGCTTTGAAGATGACCCCTGGGTGCCGGGGAGAACGAGTGGTGTTGTTCTCCAGTTGCTGCTCCAAAGCACGTCGGAGCCCAGAGAAATCTGTGGGAGGGTTGTAAGTCCTGGTTCCCTTGTAGTGAATGGAGCTAAAGGCTTCAGGGAAGCGGCCCAGCTTCCGGAATCTGTCTTGGATGAGCTTCTCTGGAACTTCGGAGGGGTGATCTATAGAAGCAGAAATTGAGGCACATGAGGAGTAACGTTCTTTTTCAAGTTACCATTCATTACAAAAGTAACACTCCTTATACAAGGTCATGGAAAGATTCCTGTATCTCTTCGTTCCATTTTCCACAAACTTTTGAAGACCCTCAAGACACAAAGAACAGAAACTGGCAGAACAAATCTATGCTATCAGAGGGCAGGTTAGCTGTGTGCCAAAGCAAGCCTGAGAGGGCTTGTCGGAGACGGGAGCTGCGAATTCTTGGTACTGATTACAGTATAGTGTTCATCACAAGTAGTGAAATTCATCGAGATGTGCAATTTTTTCTTAATTTAGGTGAAATTCATAAAATATAAAACTGTTGAAAAAGTGCAGCTCAGTGGCATTTAGTACATCACAATGCTCCATACTCATCATCCCCTTCCAGTCCCAAACATTTTCATCAACTCCAAAAAGAAGGCCCCTTCCTATTGGTAGTCATTTGCCCTTTTCCCTTCCCTGCAGCCCCTGGCAATCACTAATATACCTGCTGTCTCTATGGTTTTATCTATACTGGATATTTCCTATAAATGGAATCATGTGTGTCTGGCTTCTTCTTTAACTTAGCAAAATGGTTTTGAATGTTATCCATACAGCGCCTTTTATCAGTATCTCGTTTACTTTCAGGGCAGAAGAATCTGGACTCCTGGTATGGTGCTATAGGGTGGGCAGTTCAAACCGACCAGCTGCTCCTCGAAATTCCTACACAGGGTCACTATGAGTCAGCACTGACTCGCTATAGCACTTAAAAATATTCCACTGTACGGATATGCCACATCTGTTGATAGACATTTAGCTTAGTTCCACTTTTAGGCTACTGTTAAGAATGCTGCTATGAACACTCATGTACAAGTATTTGTTTGAATATGTATTTTCAATTCTTTTGTACATACAAGGGGGCTTCACAAAGTTTGTGGGAAAATTCCGTTATCTTTTCATCCCATTTTTCCAAAAATTTTGAAGCCCTTTCATACACACAGGAGTGGTGTTGCTGGGTTATGTGGTAATTCTAACTTTTTTCAGAATCATCAAAATGTTTTTTCTAAAGCTATGTATTTTTGATATTTTGACATGTACTTTTCTACAGGTATGTGTCAATTCTGTACTTCAATTAAGAGCCTAAAAAATAATATGCAGACGATGATGTGGAGAGATGGAACAGCTGGGGACTCTAGACCCAGAGAGGGAGAGTGGCTGTGTTCTAATGACCAGGGGTCAGGCTTGCAGGG